ACACACACACACACACACACACACACACACACACACACACACACACACACACACACACACACACAGCTCAATCAGTTCTTTCAAGAAACACAGCAGGATATTGTACATCTGTGCCTTCTTGTCGATTGTCGAAAGCCCACACTTTTTAGTTTGGATAACAAAGTGAAGAAATATAAGGATTCAAAGAGTTGTGTGAAATGTTGATGGGGAAAAAAATGGAAAAACACTGCTGTCCGACAGCTTAATATTTACCATCTTCCTTCACCTTTGTGCATTTCCACTTTCACACGTTCCCCCTTGCAGTCAAAGTTTCATTGTGCAAAAATAAGACTGCTTACGCTCTCAAAAGCTGTTTAAGTGAATTTCACTGGCTCACTGGGGAATCACCCCTCTGAGGCTTCTGAAGGCATTGAGGCAAGGAAAGAGAGTAATTACTTTTTTCCCTAAACAGAAATGAACAACAGCATGGTGTGTGTGTGTGTGTGTGTGTGTGTGTGTGTGTGTGTGTGGAAGAGAGGATGCCACCATGCAGGTTGTGCACCCCCGTGGGAGGTGGAGGTCCTGGAAGCGGGGTGGGGAGGTGCAGGGGGGCTTCACAACCAAGTTTGGAGTCTGTTCGAAAAACCAAACGTGGCGCAATGCACCTTTAAACGCCGCGATTGGGGATTAAAAAGCAGGCAGCACTCAACAAGACGCGCGCGCGATGAACAAGATGGAGCACTGAGCAGAGCGAGGGAGAGAGCCAGGAAGGAAGCGGAGAAGGAAGGGGTGGCTTACTTCCCGAGTTCCTCGTAGAGCTGGTATTCATCCGTGAAGCGGGTCGAGGTGACCACCGTAGCCATGTTGGAGGGGAGAAGGGGGATTCGCGCAGGGTGGACGGTCGGGAGGCTGCTTGGTGGGAAGGCTGCGAGAGACACCACAGAAGAGGCTTGAGCTCCGCGCGGGGAGGGGAGGGGCCAGGAGCTGGACCTGACCAAGATCTACTATGAGCGCGATAATGTACTCCGTCGTACACGAAACGACAGCACGGCCTTCAAATGCGAGTTGAATTGGTTCCGTTTTTGTGAAGTGGGAAGTGTTCACTGCATCCATGCAGCGCTCGTATGTAGTGTCGAAATTTTGCTCACAATTCAAAGGGAGGAGGGGGGGTCAAAACGATGGCTAGTATCTCTCAAAACTCATGAGTCAGGTCACTCGCATCTCAAGGCACCACAGTATTGTTTAGAAGAATACACACATTCTCTCTCTCTCTCTCTCTCTCTCTCTCTCTCTCTCTCTCTCTCTCTCTCTCTCTCTCTCTCTCTCTCTCTCTCTCTCTCTCTCTCTCTCTCTCTCTCTCTCTCTCTCTCTCTCTCTCTCTCTCTCTCTCTCTCTCTCTCTCTCTCTCTCTCTCTCTCTCTCACACACACACACACACACACACACACGCACGCACGCACACACACGCACACACACACACACTTAGCATATTTGCTTGGACAAAGCAAATAATCGTCAGAGTAAGACCTCACATGCAGAGCTGCTCTATGAGCGTAGTAGAGTTATTCTGTGGTTTAAAATGAACAAGCAGCTCTCGGGTCAGTTTGAGGCCGACTCTTCTCCTGTTAAAACAAAATAATCTGACTGGAGATCAGATGAAATCGATCGAGTCTTCCTTTGAAACGAGTTGAGATGAATGCCGCAATATTTTAATGTTTTGTTGCACTGATACCAAGACAAGAATCATGTGGAATGCTTTCACTTTACAATCACATAAAATCTTTGCATACCATAAGCGCCTCAAGAAGAGAGGGCATCATCATAACCAACAGTTTGTGGTAAATAGACCCATAAAAATCAGCAAGATGAGACTGAAAATTGTCCCTCCCGAGAGTACATTGCTGATAAGTAAAGTACATTAGCGCCGGGACTAGCTCGTAACACTCCCAAATGTGGCAATAACCCCACAATGACACAGTCGTTGCGCTAATTTATGTCTCGGCTTGGTATACGAGATCACGCCCGGTTGCTGTAGTGTCACACTGCATTAGTGTCACCCTGAAGGTCTGTGACGCGCTAAACAAGCCAGGCCTCACTCCCTGTGACCACTTGTATCCATCTGCCTCTTTTTATGCTTGATTCTTCCTTCACACTATTACAAGCAATGTCTGGAGCCAACATTCAAAATGATCTGATTTGAAATTCTTGGGTTCAGCATGGCGCACAATATTGCAGAGTCGCAACAAACGGGAGTGCAAAAGTACTGTCGTATATAGTTGCAAGAGTTCTTTTTTTTAACCCTTTCATGCACTCTGTAACCTGATAACATTGACTAACAATTCAGATTTCCGTGATAAATTTCATGATTTGAGTCAAATCCCAGGCGGGCTTCACGACTAGTCGACAGGATCCGTGATACTTGAATTCCATCACTCAAAGCACGGTGCTCCTCACAGTTCAACCAGGAAATTGATCGCTTCACTTTCTGCACCACGACAGTCCGCTGTAATGACCGACTTTGTACCCATCCACCGTGTCAATCCGCCATAGCGATTCGCCGTACATCCCAGCGACCTTATGTTCCATCCTTCCCTTACCTGACAAGACCACCAAGAAACAGGATAAGAGTTCACTCCCAACCCGGAGCCCACAATCAAACCTTTTTTGGGGGGGGGTTTAGGTGAGGGCGATAACACAGATTGACGGGTAAATTGCGTTGTATTATCTGGATCATTGCAGTCACCGCATTGAGCTCATAATCCTCTCCCCCCCACCC